GAACCTCCCATTTTAAACAAATATTAACTCAAAATGAACCACAGACCTAAAAGTAAAATCTTAAAATATGAAGCATTTAGAAGAAAACATAGACTATCATTGTAACCCTGAGTTAGGGAAAGATTTCTAGATTTCAAAAGCATAATCCATAAAAGAACAAATTGATAAAGTAGACTTCACCAAAATCTAAAACTTCTGCTCTTAAAAGACAGTATTAACACAATGAAAAAATAAGCTACAGACTGGGAGAGTAAATTTGCAAATTATATATCTGATAAGAAATTTGTATACAGAATATATAAAGAACTCTCAAGACTCAGTAATAATAGAACAATAAGTTTTTAATTTTTAAAAATTTTTTAAAAGTTTATTTATTTTTTTCAGAGACAGAGAGAGAGAGAGAGTGTGTGCGCACAAGCGGGAGATGGGCAGAGAGCAGACAGAATCCAAAGCAGGCTCCACACCATCAGCACAGAGCCTGATGTGGGGCTTGAACTTACGAACTATGAGATCATGACCTGAACTGAGATCAACAGTCAGATGCTCAACCAACTGAGCCACCCAGGTGCCCCAAAACAGTCATTTGTTTTAAATGAACAAAAGATTTAAACAGATACTTCACCAAAGAAGATATATGGATATCAGACAAGTATATGACAATTTTCAATACCATTAGTCATTAGAGAAAAGTAAATTTATTTACTTTTCTTTTTTTGGTGAAGTATAATTGATGAAATTATATCTATTTTAAGTACACAACATGATGTTTTTATATACATATATAGTGTGAAATGACTTGCATAATCAAATTAATTCACACAGCCAACACCTTATAGTTGCATTTTTTTTCTTTTTTTTCCTTTGATAAAAATACTTAAGATCTACTCTTAGGAAATTTCGAGTATATAATATATATACTTATTAATTATAGCCACCATGCTGTATGAAAAATGCACATTTAAACCACAATAGAATACCACTATACACTATTAGAATGACTAAAGTTTAAAAGACTGACCCCACCAAGTGTTGGCCAATATATTAGTTTCCTAGGGCTCCCAGAACAAAGTACCATAAAGTAAGTGGCTTGAACAACAGTAATTTAATGTCTCACAGTTCTGAAAACTAGGAGTCCAAAATCAGTGTCAGAAGGGTTGATTGGGTCCTTCTGAGGGCCGAAAGGGAGAATCTCTTCCATGCTTCTCTCCTGAGTTGTGGTGATTTGCTGGCAATCTTTGGCATTCTTTGGC